TTTCTTTTTGTAAAGTTATTATTAATTAATTTAAAAAAAAATATATAAGTCCTACAGGTGGATGAAAGTATTTACAATATATAAAAATTCGATGTATCGTATTTTTTCCACCTGAAGAAACAATTATTTATTTATGGTAGGAATAATTTTAAATGTTACTTTACCTTCTTATATGTACAATTCCGGGATACTGGGCATCTTTTACTTGTTGTGATACCACCGCAAAATAATAAGAATCTTTAAATTTAATTGCGCTGATACTGCTTGGTTGGACAACAAAAATTTTTTGAATTATTTTGAAACTTCCATCATCATACTTCAGTATTTCTATCTGGGCCTCTTTCTTTTTGTTAAATTTTCGATTATTTAATACAACAAAGATGGTATAATAATCATTAATGACCACATGTTCAACCTAAGTACACATATTAAACAACAAAAGATTATTATTTTTCAGGATAAAAAGCTTTATATTATCTATTATTACCGCTACAATTCCTGGAATTTCAGTTTCCTGCTGAAGATTCAATTTTTCATCTTTATTATCAACACTTTCGCAATATATTAATAGTTTATTTGTTTTCAAAACTGCCATGCAATTAGTGTTTTTGAATTCTGGAATAGTCATTGGCATTACATCCAAAATACTTGTGTTTGAAATTTGGTAATTTAAATCCAGTGTTGTACTAGGATCATTAAAAATGTACATGTTTCCTTGTTTTTCCCCTACAAATTATGTTTTAATGCCTTTTTATTTAAAAATTTACGGTAAAATTTTACCTGTTGATGATTTATTTTTATCATCAAAGATTTCCATGTATATATTTGTTGTGTCGTTAAATTGAAGAGGTTTCATAAACGTAATGTCCTTATCGAATACGATTTCTCCGGCATCTAATTTTAAAAAGCAAATAATGTAGTAAGCTTACCTAGATAACAAATTAAAAGTAAAAGTACCCGTTTTAAACAATCCGTTATCGTCGTTCCATTCAAGCAGTTTAATTGTAAATGTAACTGCTTTTGGGACAATTGCAAACAGGTTGTCTTTTTTGTTTGATTTAATAATGGAGAATGCGTATCGAGTTTTAGTAAACGTTTGGATAAGCTTATAATAATTTAAATAATATGCTTGATCTGCAATGTAGATTAAATTAGAAACGAATCCTTTGGTATTAAAGGGTAATGTATGTAGATAGGTACTTACTAGAAAAAGAATTTTCTACTTTCACCGCCATATCATACAAATAATCGTATTTTTCGTTGGTAACAAACTGATGAAAATTTGTTACGTTTCGTATCAACTCGTTCACGTTAACGCCACGATAATTTTCTATGTTTACATTTGTTGCATTTATGCTTTTAGAAAAGCTAATCGGCGAATAAAAGCGAACATTTGGTGCATCAAGTGCCTCAAAGAATTAATAATTTGTTAATAATAATCGGTGTCTACCAAAAATTAGTAAAAAAAACTTACTTGATTATCAAACAACTCTTTGACATCGTTATTGTTCCAATTACCTTTTAGATTTAACGATTGGAAATGTAGAACGCTATCAGAGTTGCAAAAAACTTTCTTACCGGATATTACTTGAGGGTAAGATCGCGTAAGGACAGTGTCCTTATTAAATATTATACCATTCATATTTTTATGAACACTGTAAACAAAAAATAATAATATTACAACGAATGGTTAGTTGGAAATTATTAAAAGAGCTTAGTTAGAGCAAGGCTCTGTAAGGGTTGCGAAACGGAAAAAAAGAATGGGAGAACGGGGGATGCTGTGGGGAAAAATAGAAGCGATAGGATGGTAGGTCACCTTATGAGGCATAACGTCTTACTCAGAGACATATTAGAAGCAGAAACAGGAGTACTATGGAGAAGAGGTAGGTAGAATTAGTTTTAATTTTCGGGCTCATGTGATCATTAAATTGAACTAAAAGTTACCTTAATCCATTGTAAAAGGTTACAGAGTCTTTAAAAGTAGTTCTTCCACTGATTTTAAAAACACCGTTCTTTAATACCGAGTGTTGAAACCACTTTAGAATATCTACTCCTTGAATATTAATATTTTTATCAATAATTACTTCACGAATCTTCAAACTGTTAACCGTTTTCCTTCCTGTTACAATATTTCCCTTGTCATACCTCATAAAATCGGTTTCTAAGTTGTAACCATTCAGTGTGTATTCATCTCCATTTAGAGCTTTAATTGAGTTAAGTAGTAATAAAATTCAGAACATACGGTACCTAATGGTTAATATTTTACCATTAATATGGGCAGATTTTAAAACGACAGGCACAGAAAACAATTGGTCTTCGCCGTCTAACAAAACACTATGTTTCAATTCTAGTAAATCTATGCCATAAATTTCACCCAATACGATTGCATCTTTAGCCGAAACGTCTTTTTCAAAAACGATACCATCGTTAAATGAAATATTTGCGGTAACAAATTGATCTTTAGATTTACTAAAATATGTGTCTCCCACAATTCTCAAGTCCACATTGTTTACAAATTGCTATAATTTTAAGATATTATCAGCACTTACAACAGTTAACAATATTCTCTTTTTATAAAACTTACATCAACTATGACATTTCCTTCAAATATAATTGTTTCAAAATGTTTTATTGGATTTACAACGTGTCGTTTATTCGAAAAATTGAATTTGTGTTTTAAATTTTCGAGATAAACATTGTTGACGTAGTTTATGCTGGGTCCTTTCAAAAAATACGCATTTCCTGATTGAAAAGAGTATAAGTATAAATGTACTGAACAAAACCGGAGAAAACTACAACTGACTCACCTTCTACCACCAAGTCTTTATCATTTTTGAGATAGGGAAGGTGCACGAATTCACACAAATCGGTAAAATTTACCCCAGATACAAAGCCATTAAAAAACAAATTACCGTGAACGAATACGTCGTTATTGAAGACTTTGTTTTTAAGATATATCTCATTGGCATTGTCACTTTGTACTAAATTTAACAGATCAATTCCCAAGAGTTCTCCATTAAGACTTAATGGTTGTGAAGACTTGATTCCATTTTCTGTAGAAAAAATAATTTTTTATACTTAGCAAGAAAAGTTTATAGTTTAAGGGAAATGCGAAGATTAACTCAGAATAGGAAAGAGTGGAGGTACGTGTACAACCAGTCTTAGGACTGACGACCATTGATGAAACATGATATTAACAGTTATGAGATAAAACAAGTTCTTAGGGATTATTTGTCCCTTTAGAATCACTACTCGCTCAAAACGGCTTGAAAGTATGATCAAAAGAAGTCATTCTCGAGAGTAACCGGTTAGGTCAGAACGACTCTAGTCGAGTTTTAGTTTTATTGTAATGAATTGTGTTGAAACAAGTACTTTGGTGTTTTCTTCCACGTTTTAAAAGTTTTAACTCGTACCAAACGATGCTGCTTCAAATTCATGGTGTTCGTCAATTTTGACAGAATCCTCATGCATTCTTGTGATGCTCACGTTGTTGATACGATCATCTTCAATAAACGCCTGTCCAATAACAACAACATGATGAAACTTGACGTTTCCATAAACTTTCAGTTTCATTTTATTTAAAGACATCTTATCCAGCTGGTCAACGGGTATTTGATTCAATCTCTTCTTCACCACCAATGACTCTATCGAAAGTTGCGGCAGTTGAATGTCACCTTGGATTTCAAAAATACCATTAGCTTTTTCTACCAGTTTTGGAACTACTCCCTTATCCATTCCTTCGTGAACAAATATCTCTTTGATTGTTAACTGTTTGAATGTTTTATGACCAGTTATTAAACTCGGCGTATCCAAAAATACCGAATCATTTATAATATGATCAAAGTTATGTCCGTTTATTGTACCGTTTTTCACCACCAAATCATTTACTTTTATACTGTTTAATTTTATTGATGGGGTAGTTATCAAAATGTCTCGTTTATGGTCTTTATGTAAGTCTTCGAGTGCCACGTTTTTCAAGTAAATTTCATTTCCATTTATTCTGTAAGACAATACACAGAGAATAAAATATAATTAGGTATTATTCGTAAGGTTGTACAGGGTGTTTCTTAAATAAGTAGCAAGCAGAGGGTGTTAGAGTACTATAAAACAAAACAAAAATAAGTAAAAGTTTGATGGTCTGAAAGTTTTCGAGAAAAACGTACAGGCAAGGACATTGCAACGCCACATTCAATCAGCTACTACACTTAGCAGCATCTGTTGTGTATTTGTTTTGTATTTATGTACTTGTATATTAATTGTTATTTGTTAGATTAAGTCTAAAGATTATTATGTTTAGTAGTGTGGTAGTAAGCTGTCTATATTTCCTTTTTATATTAATCTCTCCACAACCGTCACTGTTTACATTTATCATCGATGTAGCTCTTGGTTATCGCAGTTTCTCTATACATATCCAATTTCTTATATTTTTTTTATGCGTTAACCACACTGCTTTACTTACCATGTTAGGTGCATCAAGTTTGCTACTTATTTCAGAAACACCCTACATATGGATTCACCTGTTTGTTGTAACAGATTTCAGAAAATGATTTCCCGCAATTACTTGGTCTCCGCTGATTTTCAAAACGTCGTTTTCGAAATGTTCCAAATTAATATCATTTACGGTATTAAGAGTTGCATTACCAGTTATTGTAACATCGTTCTTTATTCGTTTCCACCCCGTTATAATCTGGGGCTCGTTGCTGCCTGTAGTTACTAGTGAACTTACAAAAATGCCATTGACTTTATCGACAAAAAGGTCCCCCACCTTTAAAAAATCCCCATTCATTAAAAATACAATATTATGATAAAAAATTAAATTTACTTTAATTTGTTGTTTAAAATTGAGATGCACAGGAACTTTCACTGCATCTAAACGGAGTCCCTTGTCTTGTAAATTCCCAAGGGATAATATTTCACCCTTTGCGAAAACATCGTCAGCAGCAGCATAGTCTTCAACGGTAACATTTCCAGTTATAACGCGATCACCTTCAAGAACAATTTCCTTTTCAATCCGGACAACTGGATTCGTTTTGGAAAGTTCTTTGTTATCGATTTGACCCTGCAAATCTATGGGGTTTAGCACTTGGACATTTTCAAAAATTTTGTGACCCGTGATACGCTGTTCTTCGTCCAAATCTACCAAAATTACATCTAGTTTTCCATTCTTAACAGGTATGGCGTTTAAATTTTCATTTACTATAAGATTTTTAACAGTCAAATTGTTAAACTCAATACTGTTATGCAGTTGATAGTTTCCACCATTTATTAGTAAAAGATCTTGTGGTATCTTCACAGTTTCAATGGTTTTGGCTCGAAAATCGTTTACAAATAAATGTTGAAAATAATATTTGGTTGAATCAATTTCCTGATTCCCGAAAATTTTGATGGCATTCCTTTCAATATCGGTAATACTAACGTTATTAATCAAGCCGTCGATTGTTAAATTTTCGACATGAATTTCCTTGTATTTTCCTAATGATATGGACCTTTTAGGCTTGAAATCGTTTATTGTATCAACTGTAACATTTTCAGCGTCGATGTTTTGCATTTCCAAAAATCCTTTGAACTTTTGGTCGGTGTTTATCAGTAATATGTTGTCTTTATCGAATTTAATATTTTGTAGCAACCCTTCGACCTTTACACCCTTTTCAAACACAACATTACCAATGACTGTTAAATTTTTTATAAGATTATTACCATCCGTATAAATCAGTTCTTCAGCTGGATGCTCATTAACAAATTTCGGTTTTATTTTGTTATCTATTCGAACACTTTTTAATTTTAGCAGGTTTTGTACAGTGAAATCTTCATTAAGGGAAATTACGTTTTTCAGTAACTTGACAACATCTACGTTATTTACTGTTGTAGATGTTAAGGACTTTATAGTATTCTTTTCTTGCGATAGTGTAATTTTCCCTGCAGTAACGTCACCCAAAATCACGTTTGTTTCTGAAACTTTTACAGCGTTTTCAATTATTTGTTCAAGCTCTGCTATTGTTTCAAAGTTTTTGTCAATCTCTGCCTGTATTTCAGTAATGAGTTGTTTTTCTTTGCTAATAGTAGTTTGTCTTTTGTTTATTTTTTTATTGTTTTCTTGTAAAAATTTCAAATTCTCCTCGCACCAAACGAGCATTTCGTTGTGGAAATCGTTTAACATGTTTTTATGAGTAAAAACAGGCTCGAAAATGTTCATCATTTTTCCATTATCGTTTTCATTTGCGACTACTGCAATTAAAAGGGATTAGAAAAATGTTTTTTGAACATATACTATTATAATTACTTATCAGGGGTTGATTATCGATCAGGTAAAAGCTCACAGAATTAACCCCTTTCGTAAAAGCTCTATCCGAGTATTCCAAATCGGTGTCTTCAAAATTCCAGCCGTTGTACTGAAATGCTCTTAAACCAGAGTCTTCAGTTACTGCAAGCAGTGCAAAAGAACCATTTTCACCCTTAAATATTTTTATTATTCAATTCCTTGTGTGTGTTTCTTACAAAAGAAATTGGACTTACGATAACTGGAAGCCATTCTTTCACTCTTTCCAAGTTTTCAATGTGTTGAAATGGAAGAAAATAATCATCCACAAACTTGAGTATCAAGGTTTTTGCTACAAAAAATCTCATAAAAAAAGAAGTAATAAATACCCTAAAACTAAAATTTTTACTCTCAGTGTTATTAGAGTTTGTAATGATTAAGAAATCTTCTTTCATATTGCGTTGAAAAAAGCAAAAATGCTTCACATCCTTCACGCCGTAAGTTAAAATTTTTTGATGGAGGACATACTGGCCTGAGTGAATGTCGTACTTGTACAATTCCGAAAAAATGTTTGATTCACCTGTTAAAAATGAACTTACTTCATTAAGAACTACTACAGACAAAAACTACCTTTATTATTTCTACGATCGGCATAAATTAAATAATGGGAATCCCATATTGAAAAAGGCAAAACCTTTTGGGCGTTATATGTTTTTATTTTTTGAACCATATCAAAGTGACTCCCTTTCCATTGATACATCGGACTGTAAACTTCAAAATTAATTTTTTTATCTTGCGTCAACGACATTTTGCGGCTTATCCCTAAGAACAAGTTCCTGTTTTGGACCCTTAAATTGATTAAAAATTATTATCTTTGCTTTTGTAATTGACATTTGTGTGTATACTGTAAAGATAGGAGACGAATGATTAGAAGAAGTAGCTGATTTTCTAAATCTAGTAAGATAACTGAGGATGGAAGAAGCAGTAGAGATATAAAACAAATAAAACGGCGCTGTACGGGTGCGAAACATAGACAGTGGACGCGGCGGAAAATAAAAGGTTAGAATCGTTCGAAATGTGGTGTTATACATGCAAATAGTGACTGATAGGAGAAGAAAGGACTGTGTGGAAGTCAATAAGAAATAGGCAAGATAGGTTGGTAGGACACCTCAGGAATGAAGGGCTAGTCAGCGACATTAGAAGCAAAAACAAGAGTTAAGAGGAATTAACGCAGACCTAGATTAGATTACTGTTCATAAATAGTTACGGATGTAGGATGTTCTAATTTTAGGGAAATGCGAAGATTAACTCAGGATAGGAAAGAGCGGAGGTGCGAGTCCTACCTTATGATGATGTATTACAAAAATTGATTACCATAATGAAACATCAGAAGCATATGGAATATCTAGGCCCTGGATTTTCGTTAGTTTCTCCTCTAAATCGAAAACGTAAACCCCAGGTTTTTCTACAAGCTTTTCGCTAATCTCTCCTTCCCCAATTATAACAATTACAGAGAACATGGGGGTTGTATGAACTGCTAATTTGTAACCAGTCTGTATTATTCTAGATATTATTTTTGAAAATTTTGTTTCCTATTACAAATGAAAATGTTTTTATACTTACAAAGTAATTCGTAACGCGTTAAATCAAACTTACAATAAATCTATAAATTACTAAATATCTTGTAGAATTTTTTACGTCCACTTCTAATGACACTGCGTACAACTCTTCTACGTCTGGCTTTTTATGCGTAAACAATTTGATATCTTTCGGATGAGATGTTCCAATACTGTATATGGGGAGGAAACCATCCAAAATATAAACCCCTGCAATTAAGGGATTTTATGTTGTGCATAATTTACATTTTCTTTGTTGCAGATTATTAAAATGATACCTAACAGAAGTAGCCTGATGACTTTATCAAAGTTTAAAGAAAATTTAGAGACTCAGTTGAGTGAAATCGAAATGTTACAGAGTGTTTATTGCAACCCCGGAGAATTTCGAATGCAGGACCCTTCGGCTACGATGGAAGCAAAAAATTTTATAGATAATATTGCAAGCGATATTCCGCCCACTTTGGATTTCGTAATAAATTTAGTAATAAGCGGGATAAAGGTGGAAGTTTCGGTTAATATACCACACGAATATCCCACCAAAAAACCCCACATTTACGTAAGGAACAATAAATCGAGCAAAACCCAACATTCTCAATTAAACAAGAACTTGACTGATTTTATTTCGGAATTGGAACAGGGAAGTCAATGTATTTTCGCTGCTTTATCATGGATCCAGGACAATGCCGATAAATATGTGGATAATAAACCTGAATTGTGTGGTCGCAAATCAGTTGATACTGACGAAAAACTCGTACGAATGTGGCTCTATTCTCATCACATCTACAGTAAGACAAAGAGACGGGAAATCCTTGATCAGGCCAATCAGCTGAACCTCAAAGGATTCTGTCTACCGGGGAAACCTGGCATTATTTGTATCGAAGGACCATCGACTGAATGTAACGAATGGTGGCAGACCATAAGAAACATGGGATGGAAGAAATTGTTTGTAAAAATTTACGAAGAATGTAAAGAAGATCCCAAAACTTTTTGCAAATTCGACTGTTTCGAAGAAGTCGTGTTTCAAACGAGCAACTTGAAATGCCAGCATATGGATTTGGGTGAATTTTTAAAATTTCTGGAAGAGCACAAGTGCGGTCATGTCTTCAAAGATCTTTTTGGCGTTGACGGCAACTACAAACAATAAATTTTAACATAATTATACTTAGTTTAATTTCTGTAGCGATGTGACCTTCAGTTTGACAGGCGCAAAGTAGAAAAGAACAGCACTAGGTCAGAAAAGAAAGGAGACAACTCTCGGCCAAACTCTTAACCGGTGAGGAGCGTATAATTCGTACAGTACTGCACGGAAAAATTCACCATTTTATCCACTACAATTGCATTACTCAAATGTGCTGTTATTGGTACCAATTACTACTCAAAATATCAACGAGATGTTTATTTATATTTGAAGACATATTAAAGGCTTTAACGCTTGTTATCGACTCGCACTACTATTCATGATTGAACAAAACTTTTGGCAGGTACTGTATGAAAAAGTATGTTTAATGAACAAGAGTCGAGAGTATAATGAGCTTTTTTCTCCCTACCTACGATTTTGGCAGCGCGCATCCAAGACATTGGAAGGGGCCCATCGCTAGAGAAAGTAAATGAAGTATACCATTTCATTCCCTCAGCAGAATTGCAATTTTAGAATTAGGGTTGTACACGTTTGACTTTTTGTCTTTAATAAACGTATACAACCCTAGTCCTGACTCTGGTTCCATAACAGAATATCTTTTAATGTTCCAAATAAATGTAATAAATAACAAAAGATGTTTCTTCATTATACAACTGTAATAGTTATTGTTAACTTGTTACCTGTTTCGTCCCTTGTAAGTGTATCCATTGTATCAATGTTCGACGTACTTCTTTTCGTAAGAACGTGGTTTTTGATATATTTCGTTTCTTTTATTAGAGAAATATAATTTTCTATTTGGCTATCTATAAATTCCTTTACTTGTTCATTAAATGAACTCTCTAAAACATTTTACAAAGAACTTAAATGTTGCAAATGTATAGTAAACCTCAAGGAGGCTTGTAATTATTATAATTAATTAGGTATATTGAACATTAGACTGATTGTAAGTGTTTAACTAAATGGTGCTCAGATATTTACAGTCTTTTCTTATTGTCAAACAATTTTCTACATGTCTTGTTGTAATTTTGAGGAAATAAAAACTTCTTGTTGTCGTTTTCTATTTAATAAATTACCTTTTATTTTGGGATTTTCTTTCAAATTCTCGAAGAACTGCTGCGCCAGAACATCCATGTCTTTACTTTTGGTATAACAACCGTAAAATTTTATTAAAATTACCAAATAGAATAACACTCTTAGTTCAAACATTTTTACGGCTAAACTGTTACTTTTATTTCACGGGTTGTAGATGAGAAAAGAATTTAAAAACTGATAAAAAGATTGAAAAATGTTGCCTTGACCTTCAACAAGTTCCAAAGGACTCGAAGAAGTGCTTTTTTTCTCCGAAAGGAAAATTATCCTTGTTTCTCAAATAAAACACATGGTAGCAGTATTATTTCCATTTTAATTTACTTTATTAAAGGATAATGGTTGGACTGTTGATGTACCTACTTCTTTGTTTGTAGGGAAAATAGTTCTGATTATTTCTCATATAAAATGCTATTAAAAAAATTACGAATAATCAGGATAAAAGGGGAAGATGTTCTTCTTCAATTTTGGAAAAGATGGTTCTAAAAAGCTACTACATAAATATGATATTCTATCAGTATTATTCCATTTTTAATTTCTTTTGGGTCATACTAAAGGATAATTGGAATGAAAAGGGTTTGTAGGGAAGAAAGTCCTTATCTCCTTATTATTTCACGTATAAAACTATTACCTAAATATTGTATTCTATCAGTATTATTCCCATTTTAATTTCTTTGAGTCATACTAAAGGATAATCAGGGTAAAAGAGGAAAATGTACGCATTTCCTGGTTTGTAGGAAAGATGGCATTTAACTCCCTATTATTTCTCACAGAAAACTATACAAATATGATATTTTGTTAGTATTTCCCCCATTTAAATTGTTTTGGGTCATACTGACAATGAAAGATAAGCAGAATAAAAGGATATGAAAATAAAATAGACGTTTGTAAATTACAATTAATATTTTCACTGCCATAGGGCATTAAAATAAAGAAGAATCACATGAAATATAATTTTAATTAATGTATTACATACACTTAAATAATTAGCAAGTTTTCTTTAATATCAAATAATTTTTTCAGTAGGTATTTCGGTAAATTTGTTTTGGTTTTGTGTGATTCTCCTGTTTTTCAAAATTTTGTTATATTATGAAATCCACGTGTAGATGATCTGTTTTTTCCTGTAAAAATACACACATGTAACGAATACATACATATACGCGTACATACTTATAAATCAAGCGCGAAGCAACACGACGAAAACAAAGTCCAATTTCATTATTAGCTCGTCACTTTTCAGTCATATGATCCAACGGTTAGAGTAAAGTAGTGAATTGATGAAATAAATATCATAATAAATACTCACTTACATGAATTAAATGCTAACAGTTTAATAATATAAGCGAAGGTCGTTTTTGATACCTGCAAATACTAGATTTCAAAGGAAAATTCTACAATACAGGCAAAGAAAATTAATTCTGTCTTTGGAAAGTTAGTGACCTGACGTGAGTTTCATCACGTAAGTTTACCTACTTAATTATTTTTTAATTTACTTTGGATTTCATAACTAACATAACAAATATTTTATATTTTATAATTTTTTAATAAATGTGTGCAATTCTGAAGGAAACTTTTCCCCTTTAATAATTAGGGTTCGGATGAATATGTTTTTGCGTAAGTTCACATTTTAATTCACAATTAAGTCATTGTTTAGTTAAAGTGCATATCTTGGTCATTTTTTAACGTTTTATCTGCATATTTCGTAGTAATTACAAATTGTTTGCGAAACCTGTTGATAACTATTATTTGTTATATTTTAAAATTATTGTTTTTAGAAAAGGTATAGATAACACAGTAGTTACATATACATATATTAAACTATTCCACAATAGTAATTAATAGTCTATTTTTATATTCGTATTATAAACAAAAAATGGTACCCTAATTTTTCAAACGGTAGACATTAAATTTTAAATTTTAATATGCGGTACACCATTATAACTTCATAACAGGACATGCTTTTATATCATTAACCTTGATAAGATGATAAGCAAGATTTATCGGTCATAGGTACAAGTCCGTTAGTCCTTCTCGGTTTGTCATTCATTTAAAGTTCAATCTTTGAACACCACGCACAGTATATAGTTCTACCTACGTTAACTATTGTAATTTTATTACTTC